TATTAGTATATGCTCGAAATAATGACAACTATCATATCCTTGATAGGTATTGAGATGAGACTCCAATTGAATGGGCTAAACATTCTCATATCTGGTTTGGTCTTGTGCTTCACTCGTCATCATCATCATTACCTCAGTGCCGCAAAGGCTCCCACTTACTGTGGGGTAAGGGAGGTCGGATGTACGCAGTCTTACCCCTGTACTAAAGCACATAGAGACTATTTTCGAATTATCCATGGTGAAAATCGCGTTGAAAAATACATGGACTGACTGTTGTTTCACAATAAAGAAGCGCAAACGGTTTAGTGAGTCATTTTGCTTTATTCCGTCATATTCTCAAGCCAAAAAATAGTAAATCTTTGACTCCATTGCAAATGATGAAAACGTCTTCTGCTTCACTATTGAACATAAATCATTTTAAGAAGTATATCCAAACACCTCTTTAATGACCCAAAATTGACATCAGAGAAGATGAAATCAATATGAAAACTTCATTTTGAATAACTGATACAAAGTACTACGTATATGAGAAGGTAAAATCAATATTTTTTTTGAAACAAAACTAGTTAATTATAATTAATCAAATCATGGTCCAGCGAAACCGAAATACAAGTGGATTAATTATAAAGCTAAATATAGCGATCAGACATGAAATCATCAGCCCTTGCAAGATCATGAACTAACCGATTCGCAGAACGCTACACGTGATAAAATGAAATACTAAAAAAGGAAGGTGATAGGCTTAAAGCCAATAAAACAAATCTGTCTTATCAAAAGATAGCATAATATCTAAATGTATTTCTTTTTAGACCAGTCACTCATACATCTGTATTAGCTGGTAGAATTGGAATGTAGATCTAATCCTTACCAGCTGGGAAAAAAATTCTCCAATTGATCCACTTGTTGGTAATATTGTAAAAGACAATAAAACTACTTCAAGGAATTAATCATGAAAAGCTTGTCCTTTTGAGTTTTGATACTTTTAGCCGTTTAGGTGATTCTGCCCCACCTCAACCTTTTACCACTAGTAAAATTGCTGCTAATAATACACTTTCCTTAACATTTATATTTTCACATTTCTAAATATTCTTATCATACTCTCTTTAATTTTGAAAATAATACACTACTATAACTATTTTTTATTTATTTATTTTTCATTTCACCACACTATATGATTAGCTTCCCATCATATCCTCAATAATTTATAATATTTTTCATTATTCATATGTTCACCCACTTTTAAATGAGAAAATATGAATGTTAAGGAGGTAGTAAGTACTAGTGTACGCGCGCTCTACATGTGTTGCACAAAAGCTCAACCAGTCCCAAAGGCGGAGTCAGAAAAATGTGTGAGCGGGGTCGAAATTTAATTATATACAGTATCAAAATGGTGGATAATTATTATACAATACTTGAGTTAAATGTTTCATATGTAGCTGAGATGAATGGTAGTTTAATGAGAATTTTTCGGTTAATGTGTTGATATATAGGTAATGTATCATAATGTTCACACAACTAATGACTGAATAACTTGTTTTATTTTTAAATTTAAGAATATAATCAACGTCACATATCAAATTTTGTTTATTTCAAGTTAAGATGGTGCTGATTTTTCCAGAAGTCATAACTTTTTACTCGTAATGAGTTTCAGGACCCATAATATATCAAATCGAAGGTATTTCGGAGCTCTAAAGTCTTGAACTTTCAGCGGGGTCGGCTGACCACCCTGACCCCCCCTTGGCTCCGCCCCTGACCAGTCCCCAAATCTATTTGGAAAGAAAAACATGTGAGAGTTTGATGTAAGAGCGTGTTTGGTAGGGTGTAAAATAATTATTTTGCATGCGAAGTGGAGGAACGCAAAATGTTTACATTGTTTGATTTGATTATTTAATGTACTACTGTAAGATACTTTTTAAAAACATTTCGCAGTGTACCATGTAAAACATTTTACGTGGGGGGTGGTGGTAAAATAGTTTGCATGCTTTTTATAAAGCACCGCAAATATGCAATGTCTTTGTATGCAAATTAAAAATAAATTACCCATCTAACCAAACGATGTAATCTATTTTACCTGTAAAATGATTGTTTCCCTACACTTTGCATGCAATCATTTCGCATGTAAAGATTTAACGTGTAAAATACCAAATGAGCCCTAAGAGTTAAATTAGCTTACAATCATAATTCTGTGGATAGAGAGTGCGATATGTACATGATACATACAAGAACACTATTAATTATCGAGTAAATTTGACTCATAAGGTGATCGTTAGGAATTGAATTCAGGTTTACATTTCTACACTTTCTATCTACCAAATGACCAAAGGAAACACATGAACTAACCGAAGGGAAAGTAAAGGAACAATCACTAGTTAAACTCATTGAAAAAATGACTCATTTTGTATAGAAGTATGTTCATAAGCAACATTGTATACACATAGCCCGCTTCGTGAATTTAGCTCCTATGATCAATCTAGCAAAATAGAGATTGTCATTAACAATAAAAAATGAAAGATACAAAACCAAATTTTGAAATAAAAATGTATAAATTTTGAGTAAAAGATAACACAATTTTAGGCCATACTAAAAAAGAAACTATATTTCATAAAGTGAGTAAAAAGAGTAGATACTAACATATAATTGGAACATGTCCCTTTCCCACAACTCCTTCTCTTAGCATATATAAGGAACTAAGATTGAACTCTCTTCTTTCCCATACCATCCCCCATTCACCCCTCTCATATCCTGTCCTCTCTCTTTTATCCTATCACTAAGGCACTTTTCCCATTTCAACACTTGCCTTTGCTCAATCACCTCATTAAATACTTCATACAAATCCTAACTCTTGTCAGTAATGGCCTCCTGGACAGCAAGACAAAACAAAAAGTTTGAAGAGGCTTTAGCTATATATGACCGTGACACGCCCGATCGCTGGCATAATATCGCCCGAATTGTGGGAGGGAAATCGGCTGAAGAAGTGAAGAGGCATTATGAAACTCTTGTTAAAGATATAATGCAGATAGAGAATGATGAAGTGCCTTTGCCAAATTACAGTGCTACTACTCTTAGCAGTAATGCCAGAGGATTTGGTAATGAACAAAGGTATGTATAGATAGTAATCTCCCCCTCCATTAAACTACATCAAACTACATAGTTAATGTCATGTTCAAGGGCTTGTTTGGTTCAGAATTATTTATAAATTTACATGTTTGAAAATAAAGTGATGATAGAAAAGTATACTAATAGTAACATCTGGTCTAAAACTAAAAAAAGAGGTTATTTAACTAGTATTATTATTCCTGCTTCTGACATGATTCCAGAAATATTATATGCACTCCTCTCCTCACATTCCATGTATAATCCCTTCAACTATTCCAACACTCTGGACCCTTTTTTATTTATTTGATTTATATCTATTCGATAAATTATAGAAATGTGGAATTAATAAATATAATATTCCTAGTCTTCTAGCAGGGTCATGGCGGTCGGTGTCTTTTTTTCAAATAAGAGAAAGACTATATATTGTGCTTTCTTGATGCATATGGAAATTTAGATTCCTACCTACAGTAGCATCTCATGACTTTCACCTTTTGGCAGAACAGAATCATGCAAACCCTTTTCTACGATCTTGGTTTTGGAGTATGTATATTATCTAAGAGATTTATTTCTAAAATGTCAAAATAAATCCATAATAGAATTATGGAAAAATATATTATATAGTCGTTGTAGGCACTACAAAAATACTGTCTTGGACCATTGGTTAGTGAAGTGCAAAATTAAAAACCATAATCACCACCATCACTACAAAAATCTCACTATCCTATAAAGTGATGCGAAGTATATTTTTCTATTATTTTTATTTTGGTCATGTATTTGTCACAATTTCTGCATTAATTAACTAAGAGAATCATCATTAATTAATTAACTAAAAGAGACATCACGCTTTTGAAGCTAGGAAGTAGCTAGACATTGAACTTTGACCCCTTTTCAAGCAAAATGAGGTCCGCTTTGAGAAAGTTTCATTGTGGAAAGAAATTGTACCAGCACTTTAAAAGTTAATTGTAATACTTTTCGAACGATAATTTTTAAATAAAACATATAGTTTACATGTTGATCACGTCTTGGGGAAGTTTTGGGCATCAAGTAAAGTAGATAACTTGTGAATATTTTGTCTGCATTTTCTATGAAGAAGATAAGATAAGCCAATCTATAATCTGGTGGGCCAAGTCTGCAAATTGAAAGAGTAGTAAGTATTCTACAATAAAAATAACCCCATTTATTTAATAGAAAAAGAAAAAGAAAGGGTGAATAATTTATTTCCTTTCCATTGCCTGCAGGCTTATGAGGAATTTGAAGCTTCATTAAAGTTGACATGTGTCATGTGTTATTACTACATATAAGATCTGAGCTGAGGCTCAATATAGCAAGAAGATGTGAAGAGAAAAAAATTTGCAGACCTTAATATCACTGTTTTCACTTGTAATACAGCTATTCTCATCTTCAATCTGTTTATTGTTTTATTGTAACATACTAGCATGCAGTTGTTTTCATTAAATGTTACTGAAGTTTTGATAATCCAACATTTGGTGTGCATAACATTAAAATTTGGAGGATTCATGACCTTTGTAACCCAACAAAATCAAAACATAGGATTTGATCACAGGCAGACCTTAATATCACTGTTTTCACTTGTAATACAGCTATTCTTATCTTCAATCTGTTTATTGTTTTATTGTAACATACTAGCATGCAGTTGTTTTCATTAAATGTTACTGAAGTTTTGATAATCCAACATTTGGTGTGCATAACATTAAAATTTGGAGGATTCATGACCTTTGTAACCCAACAAAATCAAAACATAGGATTTGATCACAGATAGCTCTCTCTGAATAGTGTTACATCAGAGGGTGAATATGAGCTGTGTAAATGCAGAAACTAGTTGCTGTACAAAACAACCCTTACCAAATGAGCATAAGATTAAAATTTGGTGTGCATAAGATTAGAATTTGGAGGATTCATGATCTTTGTAACCCAACATAATCAAAACATAAGATTTGATCACAGATAGCTCTGTCTCTGAATATTGTTACATCAGAGGGTGAATATGAGCTGTGCAAATGCAGGAACTAGTTGCTCTACAAAATAACCCTTACGCCTTACCAAATGAGCCTTAATGCTTAACCGCGCATAGATACAATCTCTCAAGCTAAAACAGAAGTTACATTGTCTTCAACCTTTAATTCTCCATGTTCATCAGGTGAGGTGGTGGAGATTTACTTACATCATAATTTTGATCCACCTCACAGAACAACTTTGGGGCACATTTGGATCCCAGTCGCCGTCCCCGAGCAAATTCCCTGTAAATCTGTAATTAAAACACTACAGCGTTTTCATAAAAACACCAAAGTATTGGTAAACATAACAGTAAACATAACATAAACAGTGAATTCCCACCTAATAGCTGGCTTGCCATTATCTATAACAGCGTTTATTAGTACAAGATTCCTTTGACAATGTTTTCGCCTATGGGCTGAACCTAGTTATGGTTCCAGAATCCAACCAGCATCCGTTTTTGCGGTTCCGGTCAGAACTGGTTCGGGATCCTCCAAATACTTGTATGTCAAATTTTAAATGTGTTAATCATATTTAATTTTCTTTGCATTTCCCAATGTAAAAACAAACATAAAAATAACTATCCATTTTTCACTTATTTCTTTCGCTAGCATTTTAATGCATCGAAACATACGTCAAGTGTGTGCTAAAAAATGAAGTGGTTAGATTAATGTTACCAGTCATCATGGTTTGCCTCACACACATACATATATAATGTTAGAAAAGGGTTTTAACGAGGTTAAATATATATTCTATAAGGAAACTATGATGCAGTTGAGCAAATACCTAGTAGTTTTATTTCTCGCCTAAACATCTACCCATATATATTCATTCCATGTTCAAAGGGCAAACTTTTAGCATAGACAATGGCTGGATTATAACCGTTTCATTAGTTCCAATAAATATTGATAAACCAGATTGACTTAATACAGTCACTCACCTTCAATTAGTAAGAACACTAATACACGAAGGCCAAAAGAAAACGGTTCCAAGAAATTGCTGATGAAAATTGGTGTGACGGTAAGGTTTCATTCAAAACTAGAAGAGACTGGAAAATGATAACCCAGATTCATCATCCCACTAATCGGGTCCTCCATGAACAACTGCTGCTGATGTTGTTGTTCTTGCTGTAGCTGATGCTGCAAATTGGCATTTGAATTTACATTCTTGGTCTCCACATACCTCCAAATGTACCATGCCGCCACTGACCTATAGGGCCTCCACTTTTCACAGAATCCATCCATCTGGGATGGCCTGGGCAATTCGTCGAGCAGGTTTAGCATTTGTACCCCTTTCCTTATCCCCAGATCGTGTATTGGCAAAACATCCGGCCTGTGCAGTGAAAAGATCATAAACATGTGAACTGACCACGATCCGATTCCACTGACCATTGTAAGCATTGTGAACAAAGATTTGTCGTCCATTTCAATGATGGATTTATCAGATAAGATTCCATTCTGGTATTTCCTCGCTAGGTCGTGTAGATAGCTCGCCTTTCGAGCGGAGATTCCGATTTGCCGGAGCTGTTGCGGTGATAGGTTTAAAACGACGTCGGAGAGGACGTTCGACTCTCCGCCGCAGAGAGAGACGAAACTAGTGTAGATTGAAGTTCCAGCTTTGAGGGCGAGTTGCTGGAAGATAATGTTTTTGGTTAGGGCTAAGAATGGAGGAAGGAAGGGCTCGAGGGTTGGAGGTGGGTGGAAGTCGATGAGCGGGGCAAGTCTCTGGTCGATTGATCGGAGGTGTTGAATGGCGGTCTCGAGCTCGCCGGGGCACGAGAGGGGACGAGCGATGACTCTTGGGAGTAGAGTGCTGTATTGCGCTGACGTGGCGGAGGGTACAGGGGAGAGCTTCCGGATCTTGCGGGGCCTGGATGGGAGTTTGGCAGCCGGAGACGCTTTCTGCTGCAGCGGAGCATCGGAAGTGGTGGTAGCGGAAGCTGGGCGAGAAATGGCGGCGGAGTCGGCAATGGCGTCGTCAATGCGCTCGTGTTGTGGTTCGGTTTGGGGATGGGTTTCTTCGTCGGCCATGTCAGATGTTCAGCAACTGCTATTGGTCATCAACTGGCCGGGAACCCCGAAGTTGGCCGTGAGAATGTGGGGCTGTTACCGGCCGCGTGGTGGGGGTTGAGAGGGTGGTGGTCGGATAAAATGGTGGGTTCCGTCAGACTGTGGACCGACTGACCCACTTAAAATGTGTTTTCAGTTTTGAGTACTCTCTATACAAATAAATGAACAATTAAGGGAAAAAGGCTCTATCCACTGGTCATTTGAAGTGATTCATGGTGGAATTTTTTGATTAAATTTTTTAAATCTTTTTCATTAATTCTAGTTTACTCATATCAAAATTCAGCTAAACATTCAATCGTGAAGATAGTCAAATAAATGTTTGAAAATAACTGCGCAGTTAAACAACGCAGTATATTTCAGATAATCATTTGACTGCCTTCCCGATTGAATTTTTACCTGAAATTTGGTATGGGTAAACTAGACTTATCGAAGAAGATGGTGAAAAAAAATCATCAAAACATTCCACCAGTAATCGCCCCAAATGGCGACGCCAGATAGAGTCTCCTATAAAAGAGGTGATTTGCACTTTTTCGATTACTTCGAGGGCTTATTTGCACCTTTTCCCAACAATTAAACTCTAATGATGGGTCTTGCCCATGGCTGTGCCGACGGCCGAGGCCCATATTTTCGCAAGTAAGAGCTCGTTTAGTAACATGAAAATCGGCTTATTCGACTGATTCTGCTGGAATTTATGAAGTTTTGGCTGAAGTGACTGCATTGACCGATTCTGTTGGTTTAAGAAAAAATTATTTTTAAAACATATTTTATTAATAAATTAAAGAAAAAATTGTATGTAAAAATAGTTAAAATGTTCATCTATAGTAACTTCAGTCAATACAACTAGAAAAGTAACTCCAACCTTACTATTTCTTATTATTACACAATTCAGCGTGTGAAAACAAAAGTTACGTGTTTGGTGAAAAAGTTAGCTGATAAGTCTGATAAGATGAAAACAATGTTACCAAACGGCCTCTAAATTAACTGCGTAGTAAATAGGAGTGTCCAGCCCAGCCACCGGCCACCGCCTATCCCCCCGGTGCCGTCGTTGACATCGCCCACCGGCGGTTGGGGAGCATGGGGTAAAAAATGTTAAAACTCTCTTAATGAAGTTTCGAACCCAAGACCTCTCGTACGAGAGAGTGAGTCGGTGACCAGCTTAGTTAAACTTTCTTTCAATCCACCTGAAATTTCAAGAATAGATTCGCCACCGGTTTATACCGCCGCACCTCATCGGAGCTCCACCACCACCACCATCGGACTGCCTTGACACCTTATGCAATTATTATGTTTACATTTAGTCTTCTTTAGGGCAATAACTTTATTTTGATATTCCTGTTGTCTCATAAAACTTAGTCATATTGCTTTTTCTTGGTCAATGATGACCAAATTTTACTAATGGTATCTTTTAATTAAATATTATTTCAAATATGGAAATTATATAGAAATGTTCATTGTTAAAAATACTTCTTACATTCTCTTTTAATTGCAACAATTCTCTTTCCACGTATGTCGACACGCATATTTGACCATTAATATATCTAATTCTCTATTAGTAAAAAAATGTATGGCAAGACAAATTATATGACTTTTTTCGAAAAATAATTTGATGATACATTGATGAATAAAATGTAGTCTAAGTAGAAGAGGTGATTTGTGTTAAATTCAACATGTTGCAACTATTTAAGAATGGAGGTACTATTTTTCACAAATATAATAATTAAATCATTATTCAATGTTTATTACCATCGACCAATAAAACTAAATTTGGCCAAGTTATGTGAGACGGGGGGAGTAATTACATCCAAACTACACGACTCAAATTTTGGTAGGAGAAATATCAAATAACCATTCAATTAGTAACTAATTCCACTTTTGGTCCTATAAGTTTTATGTCAATTTCACATTTAGTATTTATCTTTCACTTTGTCCATTTTGATACTTAACTATAATTCTTTATCATTTGTAGTCATCCTATCCCATTTTTATAGACGCTTTTTGTGAGGATTTTAACCACCAGAAATATTGATAGAAGGATCATATATGAGCAGAATGTAATAGTCATGCACTAAAAGTTATCAAAGACATTAACCAATTGTAAGATTGGTTCTGTACTCATAAGACCAAAAGTGGAATTTAATCATTCAATTAGTGTTGGATGAGTTCGATTCTTGTTCTCAGATCTCTTCTTCAAGAATAAATCGATATTGGGTGTATTTGGCAATCAACAGAATTTGTTATGGCGGCATGGCGGCTGTTAGCAGATAAATGATTAAGTCAACATACTCATATTAGTTGATGCTCTAAACAATTTTGACATCCCATTTTCATCAACAATTTGAGTAAAAAGATTTTATAACTTAACATTTTACCCCACACTTCTAACTAGGGTTGACGAAACAAATAATTTTGATTTGATTCGTGATTTTAATTCGAAAACGTGGATTCCATTTCGAATAAATAGAATACGAATATGAATATGAATCTATTTTTTATTTGATCAGTTTTCAAATATGTATACAAAAACAATTATATGACTTCGTGCTATTCAAAAACATGTACTGGATTGCAGGGAGGCATGGATTTCAATGGTGGAGAAAATATGGCCTCGTGCTCTTGCCTGGCAAGGAACCGGGTCGACTAACATGGAGTGAGCATCCTGGGGCCATAGAGGCTCAAGTTTCTACCTCAACAGAAAGCCAGAAACAATTCCAGCGCAAAGCAGTTTTTGAAGGGCCCTGCAAAATGGGGTCCGGCTGCGGAGAATTTATTATATGAGCGATGAGAGTGGTGCTGATCGAGAGATGTAGTCTGAAATTAGGAGTCCCCAACATTTCATATACATGGAAGGGTGATACCATAGAGATCCTCGAGATATGAAGGCAAGAATGACCGATGGACTTCTCCATGTTTTGTAGAGAAGGTAGCCATGAGGCAGAGTTCAAAGGCCAGTGCCTTGTCTGGGAAACAACAACCTCGAACTATCTGGGTTATGGATATTGATGAAATTTAGACAACAACCTCTTGCTGTGTGACGTAATCAGTGGAGAAATGGTGCCGACCTTGATTTCCCTCAGCATTGGCAATGGAGAGATGGGAATTATTCACGTGATTTTGAGGACTTTGAAGCCCCTCAGTCGGGAGTAGTCGAGTTTGTGAGAAAGATTGATCTATGTTCAGATGACGTCAGGAATGGGCAAAATCAAAGATTTCAGCATTAACCACGAAGTAGTGTTCATGACGCAATGACCATGCCAATGCCGAGTGCTATTTTTCTGAAGGCGGTATATCCTTGCAAATAGAAAGAAAAACCTTTTGCTTAGACCTAGATTGTTTCCTTTACATTGCATTTAGGTCAAATCAAAGGTAATCACATGTGTTCAATTTCTTTTGATGAAGATGGATTTAATTGGCTGTGTGATTCTTTTAGTAAAGTTCAAAATTGAGAGTCTTGGGTGTTTACGAGGTTTGAGGTTTTTGGTAAAATTCAACTCTCCTATGACACCCATCAGTTTGGTGGATTCATTCGTATTATGGTTGGGATAGCTTGGAAGAATACAACCATCATATAGTCCCTCAAGGTTGGTGTGGAGAAGGATTTAATCAATTTAGTTCCACTTTAATTTACTCATCAACTGAAAAGGTTGTAAGGAGTCACTTTGAAGACTTTGAGGTTAGTGTGGTTTATTTTGATTTGGTTGGTTCTTCTATAGGGAAATGATAGCCATTATATTTACTTGTGTTTAACATAAGTATTTATAATTATTTTTTTAAGAAAAGAAGAGAAATTGGGAAAATATATTGAGAATGAGAGTTAGAGCATAAACCATTGCGATGAAGAGCTTTCTGGACCAAGAGGATGACGTTCTGCCCATAATTCGAGTATAACTTATTGTATAGAATTCAAAATCACTCGATTCAAATTTCATGTGAATGATAACTCAATAAGGTACAAATGTTATGAAGACGTCATGTCCCGAATATGAAAGGATCATGTCTTAATCAATCAATAAAGTCAGATGTTGCTGATGGGATTTCAGGATTCATACCTCTCAGTGTTTTATCCATATCTTTTGATTGGATGAATAACATCACGTTATTCAAGTTCTTGTGGATATAAGACTTCATTATCTACAACTATGGTGAAGAAATCATGTCCAAAATCGTAGCGGAACATCCCCAAAATGCCAAGACAAAACCGACGCCGGAATTTCACGAAACCGGCGTCGGTCTGATGATTTTTGCACATATACACAAACCAGTAGCTTAACCGGCGCCGGGTTAATCCTATAAACCGTGCCGGTTATGTCAAAATTCCATATTTTTGCTGCAAAACGAAGAAGACTGGCGCCAGGTTAGCCTATAACCGGCGTCAGTTAAGCCTGATTCTACTAAAACACAGCAACGTGCAAAAGGATTTTTGATGGGAAAACTCCATCTTCCTCATTTTTTGATCAATTATTGCTCCATACCTGATTGTTGGGCTCGAATAGACTAAAATATTCCATTCTTTAGCCTATATAAAGCTCTCAATTCATCAAACAAAGACATTCCATTCCATAGATTAATTCTTAGCTTTTATATTTTTGTTCTTGGTATTTTTCTTCAAGTTCTTGAGGAGGAAAGTTCATCCTCCGTCATTGGTGTTTAGGTATTCTTTCCTTTGTAATTTCATGTTCCATTACATTTATTGTTGTATTGTGATTAATATGAGCATTAGAGGTTAAATTCTTAGCTAAGGTTAGGGATTAACTTCTATGCCCACTAGGTGTTTGATAAAAGTTCTAAATCAATAAATTGTGATTTATCCTTTATATATTGATTGTTTATGACTATGATGTACAACATAGAAGTATGTTAAATTTAGTGTATACTTGCAATTAACGTTGAAGTCTAAACTATGAACATTAAAGGATAAAATATATATACAGGGCCGGTCCTGAGGAAATGAAGGCCCTGTGCAAAAAAATAATTGTCCCTTCTTTTCAAAGTTTCAACGCAAGTTAAAAAAACTGAACCGAAACCGCACCGACTCAAACGGGACCCGAAAGTCGGGACTCGAACATAAATCGGTTTAATGAAGGTTTTTTGAGTTATAAAATCGGTTCAAACCGAACCGAACCGATTTTTATTAAGAGGTATTTTAATTATATATTTTGTAGA